CACTTTCAAGGCATCGCGAGTTCACGTTTTACTGCAGAAGCTGACAAGCGCCCTTGTTGTTTTTGAACAGAAGCCGATAAGTCCATTTTAGCGAATCAGCGCACTGTATTTAGGTCAGGTGACAAGGCTACTTTCACTTTGAAAAGACGTGCTAGCTGAGAGGAGTTTCGTCAAAGCTGACTAAAAGTGATCGAGGGTGGATAATTTCGACGAACTTGATGAACCTGTGATATCTTCTTCAGGGCGAAAAAGGAAAATAAACGCTGAAACGTTTTCACGGAAGCTTGCAAAAGCAGCACGTTACAATGGTGAGAGAAAAGCTCTGTGTATTGCGTTTAATCACATCCATACAGTTTATGATCACTACAACAACAACGTTAGTCAGGCATCTACATTGTCATCTGAGGAGATTACAAAGATTAAACCAGTGTTTTTTTAAACTCTAAAACATGAAATGTGGAGTTATCTGCTTTTGCTATAAAACAAACTTTAATTTTGTAAATTACCTGTATTTGTTTAAGGTATTATTACTTAATCAAAACAACCCAACTGCAGTTTGATTGATATTAGTTTTTGCAAATGAACTCTTCATATATATACATACATATACATACATACATACATACATACATACAGAGTATATGTGTGTTTGTGATTTGACAACATTAATACCTCATGAAATCAGGATTTTAACCAACTTTTTTTAATATCCATAATAAGACACCATTTGGGCAAAGAAATGGATCCCACCTTGTATCCAGGCCCCAGCTGATAGATGGCTAATATCTGAGCAGCACTGAGAGCTTCACTGAACAGATACACTGCCCCCATCTGACCACAGAACACACGGTTAGCGTCTGCTGTCTCTGATGAGCCCAGAAAACACTTGTCAAATGTCTGTGAAGAACAGGAGGAGAAAAGGTTTGTTTAGTTCACTTTTTTGTTTTTAATTCATCACAATGTTTTAAGTGTAGTACTGGTACACTACCGAAGTCTCTTATGCTCACTATGCCTGCATTTATTTGACCATAAAAATACAGTAAAAACAGTACAAATGTGAAATGTTTACAATTTAAAATAACTGTTTTCTATGTGAATATGTTGTAAAATATCATTTATTCTTGTGACGACAAAGCTGAATTTTCTGCATCATTACTCCAGTCTTTAGTGTCACATGATCCTTCAAGAACTCATTCAAATATGCAGATTTACTGGACAAGAAACAACTGATTATTATCAATGTTGCTTAATATTTTTGTGTAAACACTGATAGATTTTTCAGGATTCTTTGATGAATAGAAAGTTCAAAAGCATTTATTTGAAATAGAATCTTTTGTAACATTATAATTGTCTTCACTGTCACTTTTGATCAATTTAATGCATCCTTGCTGAATAAAAGTATTAATTTCTTAAAAGTATATCCTACTGACCCTAAACTTTAGAACATCACAGCATTTATACAGCACTTTGTGTTATTTACTCGCATCACACTTGAGGTGCACAGGTCTTCAATCAGCTAGAGTGCATTGATTATACCTATGATCTTACTACAGTGATTTTTTAATGGGCTTTTTAACGAGACTCATTGTTCACATGCATACAATAAAAGAGCAATAAACCGTATAAGTATCACTTGTTAGTTCACGTGAATCAAGATGAGAAACCAGCAATTTGCTGTTACAAAATGCTGCTCTTTAAATTTTATAAATAGAAAGTGATTACATCATTCTGACACCACCTTAAGCAACTTTTTTTGTGTGTTTAATAATGCCCAGCTTTGATGTACAATAAAAAAAAAAGCCTATGTGTCCTGCAAACTCACTGGCCAAATTCTAATCATATGATTTTAATGAAAAGACGTTTCACAGTCTGGACCTCACTGTTCATGAAAAGAACAACACACGACTGAATAATCACATTTAATGTCATCACATGTATTGGAAAATGTTAGCTTTTGCTATTGTTCTGCTGTCAAAGCAGTTTTGTTTCATCCTTTAAATTTGTGGGTATTTTGGGGTTTGTAGCTGCTAAAATATAGACAAGCTTTGAACTAAAACACTTCTGGAGAAAAAAGCAGGGCCTCAAGCTTAACGGCTGTTAAAAACCAGAACAATGAGAGATAACAGAGCCTTTTGAAACTACTTACATCGCTCGTGTTGACAAACCAGGTGATCTCACCATACGACGCCAACTCTCCATTGACATAGCAGCTGATTTCGCTGTTCTTCCAGCGATTATAGATATGCACTATGGTCACCATATACCACTGTAGAAGAAAAAAAAAGCAATTATACAAACGACAGTGCGTCATTATTTAATATCAATATCACAAAACTTGAGAGCATTATAGCAGGGTTTTTTTTACTTTCTGACTCCAAAATAAGATTATCCCCTGGTAGGAATCTACTTTCTATTTTCGTGCATAAACAATCATTCATACTGAGTGAGAAAAATATTAAAAGTGAAATTATAAATCAGTTTCACTTTCTGACTCCAAAATAAGATTATCCCCTGGTAGGAATATACTTTCTATTTTCGTGCATAAACAATCATTCATACTGAGTGAGAAAAATATTAAAAGTGAAATTATAAATCAGTTTCTAGAATTATATAATTGGCATTGCCATTGTAGTAAAGCAAGTAGTGAAAATATAAAGATAATATTTACTCTATTAAATTGGCAGAAAATCTTATATATATGTATATTTAGTATATACTGTACGTGTGTCAATACAATAAAATAAGCTACAATTATGATTTCATGATTTCTAATCAGTCCTCAATCCTTAGAAAGCAGAATGAAATAGTAATAATCAAATTCATTGAATAAGAATGTAAAAAATATTATGTTTCATTAACATCTTAAGTGCATGTTAACTTTGACAGCCCTAACAATACATTTTTCTATCTTTTGCAGACACTTTAGCACCCCCTTGTGGTCCCCTGGGAGTCCTCGGACCCTAGTTTGAAAAACCCTGGTCTATAGAAAAATGTGGTCCATCAGCAAACTTCTAACGCTAAACTTTGCTACAGTTATGGTCCATTTACACCCTCCAGCAACGGCCTCACCCAGATCTTCTTGAATTTCCATTAAATGGTGGGGAAAGCCAATGAAGGTGCTTATCCCTTAGGTAAGACCTCTCCTGAGGGAATGGAATGGACTCTAAATATAGGCCAAATCAACCCATGAAAGCTTTTTAGAGCACTTGTAAGCTTCTTGATATTAGAAATGTGAATTTGAGCAATATTAGCCCCATAAGTAGATTTTCCATATATATATATATATATATATAGATAT